AAATATCCCTCAAATATGTCTTTGATTAGGATGTGTTGGCCTAAGTTTGGCAAGTCTTTAAGTTTAATGTAGAGCTCATTATACAAAATGTGCCATCTAGTTGCAAAAATATTTGCTGAATGGGTCTAAGAAGTTAAATAGTTCAAGAAAGAATTAACTAAACGGAAGGCAGAGACTGAAAATAAAGAGACTGAAGAGTGTAAATGTGGTTGAGCAAGATATCGAAAAAGCTGTGATAAACGCAAAACGCTATAAGCCCAAAGGAAAAAGAAAAACAGCTTGGTTTTTATGCAGTTCAGCTCTATTTATAAAGCACTCTTAACAATGGAGACGTCTCTATATAATCAGCTTTTCAGGAAATCCGTCCAAACACGAACTCCCAGAGAAACCGAACCAGACCTACAGCCATCCATCTCTACACAATGAAGTAAAAAGGGATGAGTTTGTGACCAATATTGGTTTGTCAGTATTTACGCTCGGGATCTGTGTACATTTTAATTGACAGTCACGTTTCCCATTGTTCTGCAAATTTTCGTGGGTAAAAGCCAGTCATTTCTATGTAAACCCGCAAAAAAAAAAAAGTGTAATTTTGATTTTTTTTTAATTTCACAATTCTGAGGCCCCGTCCACACGGAGATGCGTTTAGCTGTATACCAGGGGCGCGGGAAGATGTTTTTGGTTGGGGGTGCTGTGTGTGTCCGTGTGGGATGGGCATTTTAAAAAATCTGAAATTCGCTTTTGCGCCATTATCTCCTTGTATTAAAGTTAATCTTGTTCGCATTCTGTACAGTTCATGTCTGAAACCATGCGCTAGCGTCACGTGTTCATGAGGATTAGGCTAATCATCCCATACAGAAAACATCACAAGTAAAATTAATCATGTTTATAAAGATAAACATGGGTTTATTATAGCCCACTTACAATTTACATTTCAGAGATCATTACAAATAAATTATTAAATGCTAAAACTGAATAAATTTAAATGAACAAACTTGGCGTTGCATTTGCAACCATGTGAAAACAGGGTGCTGTAGCCCCCTCAGCGTCCCTGCTGTATACGCATAAATGTTGTATTGTATAGGCATTTCGTGCAGACGGATCCAGCGTTTTGGGAGAGTGAAACCGATATTTTTTGAAACCGGGTCCCAGAGTGGATCAATTTGAAAACGCCGCCCTTGCGTTTTCGTGTGGACAGCGAATCCGTATATTTTCTGAAACGATGACGTCATCAGCCCACGTCTCGCCCCTAGTCAGACACCGCTACGTCACGTAACAGCAACAAAAACATGAACAAACACTGAACGATTGTCTTTTTATTAACTAACATTAACACAGATTAATAAATGTATTGTTCCATGTTCGTTTGTATACCGCGCGCAAGGTTTATACGCATAGTCCAAGTCTTCTTCTCCGTTTTTAGTGTATCTGTGGCAGAATTACAGCGCCACATGCGGGTCTGGCACGTATACTACATAGTTTTTGTGTCGGTTTCGTGGTTTCGTGTGGACGCAGATATTTCTTGAGACGAGGGGGAAAAAAAGATCGGACAGGGAAAGCTCTGGCTTCGTGTGGACGTAGCCTTAGTTTATATACCACCGTTCTGATTTTCTTTCTCAGAATTGCAAGATATAAACTAAGAAACGCGAGAAAAAACGCACTTATTTTAAATCTCTCAATTCCGAATATGTAAACTCACAATGAAATAATAAATTGCAATGACTTTTTTGTTTGTTTGTTTTTTAATTCCGTGGCGAAAACTGGCTTCCATGCATCGGGAATTTCATGTGAAGGCGTGGTCACATATACAGTTGTTCAGTGAATTTTTGCAGCCGAAATCCAGTGACTTTTGTGTGAGAGTGAAAGCCCCAAACAGATTTCGCGAGGAGTTAGTTGGTCACATGGATTTGTGCATCAAAATGAATTAAAATTTCTTCATTGTATCATATATCCCGTTTCCTCATTTTAGTTAAACTGTGTTTAAGTAAATCATGGCCATGTTGTAGTAATTTGTTCCCTTGCTTTGATTTCATTAAACAAATTAGTACAATGTGGCCACAATTTACTAAAACGAGGAAACAAGGGAACAAATTCTTAATTCGTGGCCACTATACAGTGTTGGATGTAACGCATTACAAGTAACGTGAGTTATGTAATCAGATTACTTTTTTCCAAGTAACTAGTGAAGTAACACTACTTTTTAATTTACGAGAAAATATCCAAGTTACTTTTTCATATAAGTGACGCCAGTTACTTTGTTTTCCTGTGTATTGACTGACAGCTCTCCTGTCGCCATGTAGAGAGAAATCAGGAGTGCAGAGGCGTTGTGTGAACATGATCTTACTGTAGATCTAGACTAAACATGAACAAGCATTTATTCATCTCACTTGCACAAAAACAGATTCAGTGTTCCTCAAAATGAATAAAAACAGTGAGACGCAACTCAGAATATGATGCAAACCTGCAATAATTGAATATGTTTAATAAGACAAATATCTTTTATGTATTTAATCCCATGTTATTAAGCAATGTCTTTGCTGACCTCCGATGATCCAATTCAACCATATTAATAAGCAAAAATTACTTATAAGATAAACATGTCTCTTTTTTTTTAATTGCTGAAGAGTGTTGAACTTTCTTCTCCTGCGTCCTATTCTTCATGCAATCCAGAATGGCAGCACAGCTGAAAGGTTTGTTTGAGCTGCGCCCTCTACTGTACAGACGTGGATTTACATTTGATCTATGCAATGAGGCAGAGTCATGCTGAAATAGAAAAGCCCTTCCCCAAACTGTTTCCACGAAGTTGGAAGCATAGCAAAATGTCTTGTTATGCCGAAGCATTAAGATGTCCCTTCACTGGTAGTAATGGGCCGAACCCCAAAACAGCCTCATGCCCTCATCCACCAAACTCTGCAGTTGGCCCAATGCAGTCAGGCATGTAACGATCCTCTGGTGCCCACCAAACTCAGACTCGCCTATCAGACTGCCAAACACATAAGACAGATTCATTACTCCACAGAACAGGTTTCCACTGCTCCGGAGTCCAGTGGTGGTGTGCTTTACTCCACTCCGTCTGACGCTTGGCATTGTACTTGGTGATGTGAGGCTTGCATGCAGCTGCTCGGCCATTGAAACCCATTCCATGGTCTTTGCGCTGATATTAATGCCAAATAAGTTTGTAACTCTTCAGCTAATAAATCAGCAGAGCGTCACCATGTGATTTAGCACTCGATGACTCCGCTTTCTGATTTTACATGGTCTTCTGCTTCGAGTTGCTGTTCCTAAACGCTTCCTAATACTGCTTACAGTTGTATGGAGCTTATAATATGACAAAACTAATTGAATTTGTATTGTGTAAATTTGAATTACTGACAAGTGCCATTTAACAAAACTGAATATTATGTGGCATTTGACATAATTCTGAATTTGATTTTTTTTTTTTTTTTTACTTGAATATTAAACATTTGAAATTTAACACAACTGAGTTTTTATAGACATGTATTTTCAAACAGCAATTTTGTTGTTCTGAAATCTTAGACAGCAAATATCCAGTTTTTAAAAATACAGCTTCAAGTTTTCAAGATGAAGAGGAAATTCGGAACATCGAATTCAATATTCTAAAATTCAATACGCAGAAATTCAGATCGTATAGAAAGGAGGTCAGAGGTAATCCACAGGGAAGCGTAGATGATCTCCGAAAAGTCAAACGAAGCATTTTGGCCAATTAATAGTTTTCTGGCGTGAGCGTGTGGTTCAAGATCTACCTGATCACGAATCGCCCAGAGGTAGCCTAATTGATTCTTAAACATTTATGGTTTATATACTTATATGTTAGGTTAGCATGTGAAACATTTGTCTAAACCAGTGGTTCTCAACCTTTTTTACTCCAGGGACCCCCTCCTCTCCAAATCAATACATACTTTGCAAAAATGTCACTGCAGGTATTCTTAACAACTTAAAAGTAGCTACTTAAAAGTATGTAAACCTTAATTATACAGTAACTTTAACAAATAAGCACAAGTCAACCTGCCATACCAAACAAGACCACAGGGAGACACCAAAGGACTGCATACACAGATCCATGCAGAATAACTAAACACACCAAAATAGGAATGCACAATGAAACCATTCTGAATGTGTGGAAACTCAGCGATCGGAAGGCGGGTCGATGTCCTAAAAATATTCAGTTGCGTTAAATTTCAAATGTTTAATATTCAAGTAAAAAAAAAAAAAATCAAATTCAGAACTATGTTAAATGTCACATAATATTCAGTTTTGTTAAATGACACTTGTCAATAATTCTAATTTACACAATACAAATTCAATTAGTTTTGTCATATTATAAGCTCCATACAGTTGCCTGTTGAATATCTTAGCAGGGATGAAATTTCATGAACTGTGAAACATTCGATCACTGTATTAGACGGAGCTCTTCAAAATAACCCATTTTATTCACATGTCTGTAAATGCAGAAAAAAAAAAAAATCAAATTCAGAACTATGTTAAATGTCACATAATATTCAGTTTTGTTAAATGACACTTGTCAATAATTCTAATTTACACAATACAAATTCAATTCGTTTTGTCATATTATAAGCTCCATACAGTTGCCCGTTGAATATCTAGCAGGGATGAAATTTCATGAACTGTGAAACATTCGATCACTGTATTAGACGGAGCTCTTCAAAATAACCCATTTTATTCACACGTCTGTAAATGCAGACTGCATTGCTAGTTGCTTGATTTTATACACCTGCGATTATGGGTCTGATTGAAACACATAGATTCAATAATTAAGACGCGTCTCGATACATTTGTCCATATAGTCGCCACAACTTGCATTTAAGCAGATAATGTTATCTTTATATAGCATATGCCCTTCTGAAGGGGAAATTAAAAGCTCTCTTATCTCTCTGCCACACGAACGTCTCCAACTTGGCTGGTCCCCTTAATGCAAGTTTAACTTATTAACTGCTTTTTTAGAAGTAAAAATAGTCAATGATAAAAAGTTAAACCAGATTTTTATTATAAGACGACAACAACTGTTCATGACAAAAGTCACTACCAAGAATGCCAGAGCATTGCCATGAGATTATAGGGTTAACATTAAGTCTGTAACACAAACCAAGACACTGGCCATCATAGTGTATGTTGTATAAAATAAGATTTAATAAGGAAACAAACACCAATAAATAAGAATACTAAGGCATTGAAAGCCAAATACTCATTTAGAACCAAACCCAGAAAGAATTTACAAAGAATTTCTTTGAAATGTGTTCGTTTTATTCAGTTATCCTCCAGGTGTTGGTTTAAATTGGACTAATTAGTAGTAGAAGTGGTTTGGATTCTATAATGCTCTAAATTCAGACCAACACAGACAGTGGGTTCTCTTCAGTGCTGTGTCAAATTAATACATTGTTTGAATTGTTTCTTTTTTACACTGCAGCTTCATATCTGTTCATGATACCACACTGAAACGTCTTGCAATACTGGGAAATACTGAGAGCGAAGAAAATGAAGAGACTGTCAGATTTTTTACAAATTAATGCACTTATACCCAAGGGTGAATCTCATGAAAACCGACAAGAAATGTTCAGGTCACATTTAAAAAGCTAAAGAAATAAGAAATTATATTTTGCTTAAACATGAAGCCTATCCATTTTTTAATGACAAGAAAATTCTATTCTCTCCTCAAGTTCTCATTACCGTAATAAATATATATAATTTAAATTCCAAAGTACAATCTGAATTATGCATTATAGTGTTATGTGTTACACTGGAATTATGTTTTTAATAAAAAAGGACAGGATAATTATCTTTACTGTTTTATGGTACAACGAGAATTATTTTTTAAACATTCCTCTAAGAATTTGAGAGGAAATGTGCTGAAATGTCATGAAAATGAAACCTGTTTTAGGAATATTAATATTCGCTTGCATTGTGATATAATTTTACACCCAAATTATCATTACCATAACATTCAAAAATGTATATAATATTCAAAATTGTATGTAAATGCTGATTTTAATCAAAAATGACAGAAAATATATTATTACTGTATTACAGTAATGAGAATGAGTTTTTGGCGCATTAAGGTAATAAGAAGTCAATTAAGCAAATTTCACAAATTCTCATTACCGTAATATATTAAACATATTTAAAATTGTAAGTATGCATTATGGTAGTATGTGTTAAACTGAATTTATGAAGTTTTTAATTAAAAAACGTAAAATGATCATCAGCGTATCATGGTAATGAGAATGGGATTTTTTTTTGCCGCATTATGGTAATGAGAATCTTGTCTTCTTTTTTTTTTGCATTACAATAATGCGAATTTGGAGAAAATGTGTTTGTCATGAAAATATGTCAGAGTGTAAATCTTAATGGCTTCATTTGATTAATGCAAATGATCATTTTCTTTCTATCGAATATATGGTGAATTGTGACCCGGACATTTCTTTTTCAGGTTCATGCAAATAGGATATTTTGTTTGCATTCACTCTAAATGTAGAAAAGAACTGAAAATCAGCGGTAATTCTGTGTGAGCACATTGGTTTTCATCCGTTATGGTACTAAGGCAATGAAGAATACGCACTAGAATCAACAGAAACAGCACTGGACCGCCAATAAAAAAAAAAAATTTAAAAATCAAGAACCAAAAATACCGTGTAGTCAGAATCAAAAATCACATTGTGCAAAGTTGGGCTGATGGCTTTGTGAAGCCAATACGAGTCAGTTCTGAGCGCAACCAAACTCACACTGCGTCAGTATACAGCCTGAAGATCAAATCCAGTCCTGTCCGGTTCTAGATGGTCTGGTGTAACGTGGAGAAGCCTCAGATGTGTCAGTATGAAGGTCAAAGGCACGCTGTTTCAGGATATCGAGGAGAACTCCTTCAGCAGGACGTCCTGACTCATGGTACTCAGAGACACGTTCTTCCTCACGTTCAGACTGATGGAGCGAACCTGCAAACACAACACAAAAAACTAACTCGTTTCCTGACAGCCGCCATCATGAACGGAGAAGCGTGTGAAGCTGGCCATAAATTCACTTCACATTAAAATTGAATGAGTTCCTCAGGGCAGAGGGACTGAGCTCAGGAAAAGAAGAGTTGGGATGATACCAAGATATTTGGCTTTACAATACAATACAATACAATAAACAGACAGTATATAGATTGTTGAATTTGTCTGATGTATTTGCATATCATGAAACAACAATATATATTAATTAGTGCTATCAAAACGATTAATCGCGATTAATCGCATCCAAAATAAACGTTTTTGTTTGCATAATATGCGTGTTCTGTGTATATTTATTATGTAAATATAAATACACACACATACATGTACATATTTCAGAAGAATATGATGTTTATATATTAAATATATTTTTTTAAAATATAAATTATATGAAAATAAATATAGACATGTAAATACATGTAAATATTTTCAAAATATATACTGTATGTTTGTGTATTTATGTGTACATAATAAATATACACAGTACACACACATATATTATGTAAACAAAAACTTTTATTTTGGATGCGATTAATCGTTTCCCGACAGCACTAATATTAAACCAATAATTGAAATAGACAAGAAATATGATCATATAATTTTCATGCAAGGTCATAGAACTAACAGGTATCTATTATTAACTAAATGTTATTTAATTTTTAGGCGCATGTCTCACTTTTCCAAATATATTCTTCAAATATTCCACAACATAAATAGGGCTCTATGATATCAGTTTTATTTTTCTCCAAATTCAGTGTTTTCCTTATTAGTTTTTCCAGAATTTGTTTCGATAATTTTAATTAAAAAGGATGTCTAATCATAATAATAATTAATAGTTCATTGAAATTTTAACAATAGAATTGTTTTTTGTTTGAATGTTTTATTTTTTCTGGATTCTGTGTTTTATGATTTAATACAAATGATTAAAACGATGATTAAAATCAAATGAATGAATAAAAACTAAAAATTTAACAAATCTTGTAAAATGAAATTTGGACAATTTTGAAAAATTTTTTTCATTTTTTGGCAAAAAAATGCTGCATAATAAATGTTTACGGGTGAAATATCTTACGGGTTTGGAACAACACAAGGGTGAGTAATTAATGACAGAATTTTCATTTTTGGGTGAACTACCCCTTTAATGTCTAACTGAACTACAGGAACACACTTTAGATAAAAACCTAGTGGAGTGATCACATGACTGCTGATACAGACATGAACCCCTGCAGTTGGCACAAGCTCTCTGTTTATCCTCTGTTGATCAGCTGACCAAGCAAGATCAGTAGTAGTTTGAGAACTTTAAACTCATCTTATAATATTCTAACATGTAATATTTGCTTCCTTGTAGTTGGTATACAAGTAGTTGGAAGTTGGCAGTTGGAAATGGACAAAACAACAATAACAAAAACTGTATCTAGAGCTGTTTGTCTCTTTATTAACGTTTTTGTTGTTTTATCATTTGCATTTTAGAGTCTCAAAATGTTGACCTTTAAAATCATTACAATTTATTTACATTACAAATGTTGCAGGGAATTTATATTGTCCTTTCTTTTTAAAAAAAAAAGCTAAAACACATTTTAAAAATAAAATCCATTAAATGTGATGGAATTTTACTACATTTTAAATATTTAATTAAACTGACATGTACTTGTATGTTTGAAATAATATTTAATTAATAATATTTTCTGTCATTTTACCTTGAAAAAATATTTTGGTAGCATTTTTATAATTTAATTAAATCTATAATCATTTTAATTAAACCTAACGATATTTTACTGCATTTCTATAAATAGTTTATTAAAATGTAATGATGTTTTATAAACAATAATATTTAAATAATACTTTTCGTCATTTAACCTTGAACAAATATTTTTACACTTTCTTTTGGTAGGTCTTTAATTTTTTTTTTAATAAAGTTAATAATATTTAATAAAATAATTTTCATTAAATGTAATGGTATTTTACTACATTACTTCTTTAATAAATATTTTATTAGAATGTAATTATATTTTTGAAAGTAATATTCAAATAATATATGAAATAACATTTACTGTCATTTTACATTGGAAAAATATTTTGGTCGATTATTTTGATACTTTTTTTATTTTAATAAACCTGGATTTAAAAAATAAAATAAAATCATTTTAATTAAATGTAAGGGTTTTTATATTTTAAATATTTTAGTAGAATGTAATGATGTTTTTCAAATTATAGTATTTATATAATAATAATATTTTCTGTCATTTTACCTTGAAAAAAATATTTTGGTAGCATTTAAGTCGCTGGGGTATATTTGTAACAATAGCCAAAAATACATTGTATGGGTCAAAATTATAGATTTTTCTTTTATGCCAAAAATCATTAGGATATTAAGTAAAGATCATGTTCCATGAAGATATTTTGTAAATTTCCTACCATAAATATATTAAAACTTAATTATTTTTTTTGCACCCTCAGATTCCAGATTTTCAAATAGTTGTATCTCAGCCAAATATTGTTCTATCCTAACAAACATACATCAATGGAAATATTATTTATTCAGCTTTCAGATGATGTATAAATCTCAATTTCGAAAAATTGACCCTTATGACTGGTTTTGTGGTCCAGGGTCACATATGAGAGACAAATCAAAACTGTTTCCTGTGTCAATCACGGAAAGATATCATTTCAAAATAGCGTTCCCAAAACTACAAGCTGTTTGAGGTCACACTGTGAGCAGTAATTTTACATCGGACGGGTCTGGACACTCCAGGGCATGAAACGGGCTGATGGACCACAAATCCCCAAACTTACACTAAACTAAGAGAGCCAGAGCGGCTGGACAGAGGTGTGTTGAGGGCATGCGGGAGCATCTGGCAAAGCGAGATGAAAGAGACGAGAGTTCGGGACTGCGAGCGACAGCTGGAGTAACCCTCTGTAAAACTGACCTCACTTCCAGCACACAGCATCATTACCCTACAGATCAAAGGCTAATTAAGCAACAGCTGTGACCGTCCCAATCAGCCGCTTCTCATCCACACACACATACATAGTGTTTGCTTATTCAGCTTCCAAACCAATTCTCTCATTTCAATATACCTTTTGGTGTACTTGGATACAAACTATTAAATATGAATGTTTTATTAATATATTAATAATTATCATCCATATATTTAATTTAAATATTTAAATATATTAAATATATGATCAAAGCTGAATATTCCGTATCATTACTCCAGTCTTCAGTGTCACATGATCTTCAGAAATCAGTCTAATATGCTGATTTGCTGCTCATAAAACATTTCTGATTATTATCAATATTGAAAACAGTTGAGCTGCTTCATATTTTTGTGGAAACGGTGATACATTTTAATAAGGATTGAAAAAAAAATAGAAATATTTTGTTACAATAGAAATGTCTTTACTGTCACTTTTCATCAATTTAATGCATCCTTTAGTATTTATTTCTTTAAAAACTGACTTCAAACTTTGTGTTTATATTATATATTACATTTTACATAAATTACAATATATTACAATGAGGCTAAAAGTTAATGTTCTTTGCAGAAACCCATTAAGATCTCATTAAAGTCTGCTTGATCTTAAGGCATCAAAATGACTGTGAAAACAGTCCACCTGATGTGAAGTATTCAGTTACCTGGTCTTCTGAGAGCTGTGAGATGTGGTTCACAGCAGCGTATGACTCAATCTTAGGGTTGAAGTGGTTAATAATTGCTCTGAAATTACAGAAAGAGGCAAAATGAGATATATTTCAAAAGCTTCAGCATGTGACCTGCACTGAAAACAGCCCAGGAGCCCCACACTAGAGGTCCTATGACACATCTGTGTGTGAGTAAAAGGTAACGTTACAGAGAATTGTCAAAGGTGTGGTCTTATAAATATTCTGCTGTAATGCTCTGCATTATGCATGCTTCAAAAAAACAGCACTCGACTTCTTTTGTGCGGCACAAACACATGGTGACATCTCTGAAAGCCCAGAGAACGTGTCCACATTACCTCAGACTCTAAAATCAATAATTAATTCACCATGCCCTCACACACAAACCAAAATAAAGACTAAAATACAAATTTTACCAAAGCTATCCAGTGTTAGTCATAGACTTCAACTAAAATGATTATGACCTTCCACGATTTCACCCATCTTTACAACATAACTTGCTTGTAAATAAAAGTACATTATATAAATAGACTTTATATTTAGTATTATTTTTCTTATAAATTTTTGCCTTTTCAGACATTTTATGCTTTTTATCTATCTATCTTATCTATCTATCTATACATATCTGTATATATATATATATATATAGATAGATAGATAGATAGATATAAACAAAACACAGAATCAAAGGGAAAAGACAAAACAAAATCAAAATAAATAAATAAATAAATAACAAACAAAAACAAATCAAATCAAAGAAAAAAGCAGAGAAAAAATTTACTAAAAAAACAAGGACAAAAAAAACAAAAAACAGAAGCAAAAAAATAATAAAACAGCAAAAAAAATAAAATAAAAAACATAAGAACAAAACAAAAGCAAAGGAGAAAAAATAAATAAAATAACATAAATAAATAAACCAATTAAAAATATAGGGGGGAAAAACAAACACAAAGGAAAAATAATTAACCAATTACAAACAAGGAAAAAAATATATAAATAAACAAATTTTACCAAAGCTATCCAATGTTAGTCACAGACCTCAACTAGAGCAGCACAACCTATGATTATGATCTTCTATTATTTCAACAAGTAAATCAACTATTACATATATAACACCTTTATACAATTACTGAAATGTAAATGAAAGCACATTATATACATAATCTATATATTTAATATTATTTTTATTATAAAATTTTCATATTTATAGAAATATTTTATGTCTTTAACAGATAGAACTTTCAAGGTGCTGTATGTAAGTTTTTGACTCTACTAAAGCACAAAAATACCATAATATGTTTGCAGGTATTTAAGAAACATGCTAAGTTAGCATACTTGTTCATATGAAAAACAATGCTACAGTCAGTTATTCTCCTTTGAAAATGTGCGTTCCGGGACGGAATTTCGGTCTCTATTTTGGTTTGTGAAACCAGTTTACAAACTGCCAGTTCACCCAATTGTATTTCAGCACCCCGGGTTGCCAGTTGGTGGAAAACACAGCGTATTTCATGTCATTCATCGTCAAGTGCGCTCGTTCCTGTTGGTGTCGTCAATCTGGCAACCTGCGTGTGCGTCAAGTCTGAGGAGGACGGGCCGGGTGAAAAAAACCCTCTCCAATATTTTGCAATACCTAGTTCAACCACTCGGTGTCAATCCTACATACAGCACCTTTAAGTATTTTAAAGTAAGATTTTTAAAACTGATCATTTAAACAAAGAATGCAATAAATCCTCTCATTATTTATAGTGAAAGTGATCTAGAATGAAGGTAAACGTGAGCGTTCTGACCTGACGTTGACGAGAGCGTGAGTAACTTTACTAGCAGGCTCCTTCCACTGGCCTGCGTTGGTTGAGACTCGCAGCACTGCGGCGTCATGAAGATCAGGTTAGTGCTTTAGTGATGATGGATAAAAATAAAAATGTATGCAGCAGGACTGAGCTCAGCTGACTTACCCATGCAGTAGAGGTTCTCAAACACCTGATGCATGCGTATAATCTCATAATAGAGCTCGTCGTAACTGCTGGGCGTGGGCAGAAACGTGTCTCCATACGTGATGAACATGTTAAAGAGGTTCACCACCTAAAGCAGACAAAAACATGTCAAGTAAGGTGAGAAATGTCCAATCTGTACTTAAAAACATGAGGAACCGCCGCTCGCAGCGATTTACCTGAAGAGCCAGCTGGAAGATATTGTGCTTCACCAGAAGGATGGTCTCATTAGACAGCAGGAACTTCAGAAGGTTAATGAGAGCTGGAAAACACAATCAATACAGCCATCTGATGCTATCTGATGAAACAGCTTTGTTCACACGAAAATAATCACTGTTTTGACCTGTGACTCCACACAACATTATCAGATCCATTATCAGGGGTTGCAGAGAGATATAGGCAAACAGAGTTGCATTTTTTATGGTTAGAAATAAAAACAACATACACAAAGTAAAAAATGTTTTTTTTAAAAAAATCAAATTTTTCATTTTCATTTATTTATTTAATTATATTTATATAAATAAATAGAATGCATTTATATTTATATAAAGTACTTTATATTTATATAAGAAAGTTATATTAACCTAAATATATAGAAAGTACAAAAAAAAACAAAAAAAAAACAACAAACAAAAGAAAGAAGCAAAAAAAAAAAAAAAAAAAAAAAAAAAGAAAAAAAAAAATGAAAAAAAAAAAAAAAAAAAAATCAAAAAAAAAAATCAAAGAAAAACAAAAAATAAAATAAACAAAAATAAATAAAAAACAAAAGAACAAAAAACTAAAACAAACACAAAGGAAAAAATTAAAGAAAATAAATCAAAACCAAAAGTGAATAAAAATAATTGTAAAAAAAAAAAATAATAATAATAATAACAACAACAAGAACAAAAAAAAACACAAGCAAGAAAAAAAGAACAAAAAACTCAAACAAAACAAAGGAAAAAACAAAAAAAGAACAAAAACAAAACCAAATGCCAAGGAGGAAAAAAAAGCAAAAACAAAAAAGAAACAAAATCAAAAACAGTGAGTTAAAAAAGCAAAGAAAAAATAAAATAAACAAAAAATAAATAAAATCAAGAACAAAAACAAAACAAAAACACAAATGAAAAAAACTAAAAACAAAAGCAAAGAAGAAAAACAAAACAAAAATAAAAAAAGTGAATAAAAATAAATAATCTAAAAAAAGAACAAATAAACGAAAATGAATCAAAAAAAGTTACGAAAAAAAAAATAACTACATTTACATTGTCATTTAGCAGACGCTTTTATCAACGCAACTTAAAAAAAAGAGGACAATAGAAGCAATCAAACCAACAAAAGAGCAACAACAATAAGTGTAAAACTACATATTACTATATACATTATATATTTACTATATGCAAAACTAAACAACCCTCTACATTGCGAGTAAATCACTCGCATATGCGACTAATCTTCACTCTGGGCGACTAAATTATGTCTAATATTAGCCACTGGCTAATAAATTCTCAGATTTTACTCGCCAGTGTGTGAGTTGGACGCTAAGTATAAGTTTAGCTCAGATATATTTTCACTCGCCGAACACTCTCTGACTGAGCGCTTCAGAGTTTCACTCTCCGCCAAGCGATCTGTGCTGTTTTTCAGTTCATCTGAATGGATGTGCAACGCACCTGTGTTTGACATACCGTAAACTCTAGTGTAAAGGCGCACACCTTGTCTCACACACACGCAGAGAGAGAGAGAGCGCGAGAGAGTCTACATGCATAATTGACGCGCTACATGTAAACGATATACTTTGTTGTATTTTCCGGTCAAAATAATGCCGTTCCTTTGGAATTCTTCAGCTTATAAGAACTGCCGGGTTTTCCGGTAGTGGGCGGAACTAATGCACAAACAGCAATCTCATTGGCTGGCGCTCACCTATTATCGTCCCTGTTTTGATTTCAGCAAATCAGTTCAAGCAACGCACCCAACCTGATTAATATTCATGAATCCAGCAGCTCATTAATCCTTGCAGAACCGTGCATTTTATATTGTTCTTATTAGTAGAATTCTAGGTATTATTATTATTATTATTTTTTTTTTTACTGGAACACTGAATGACCAAAAAAAGCACCAGCACCAGTCCTAAGTTCATGGTTACCAAGTTTTAATTCTAATTACTAAACTTCTATTATTAAATAATACTTGAT